TTACATGGTTGAATCGGTGTTGGCATATTTCGGCTAGGATGGGGGTAAGAACTATAAATATTGTTTGCATGACTTAGATTCGGCAGCGATGAGTTTGCTTGGTACTCTCTGTTGAAGTAGCTGTTTGTAGCTGAGGGACGGGCTCGTTCTGCCGCTGACGTACGACAATTTATATAAGGGCAGGCGGCTTGCTGCGCAATACAAGGCGGTGTACCAGCAGAGGTGGCGTTAGTCTTATGCATTTCGGTGACTGTAGTTTCCGAACCAGGTACATGGGCAAATTTGACGTAAGTGTTACATATATCTGAGGGCTTGACTTGTGCGTCGGCAACGGTGACGCCAGCGGAGTGAATAGTGAATGGGTAAATAGGGGGGCGTGTGATATATGTGTCGGCACAGACAACACTAGCAGAATGACCATCGTCAGAAGTGGGGTGTACGCCGGCAACAGTGGCGTCAATTGGTTTCTGCTGCTTTACACTTTGTTCCAAATTCTTGAAACTTGCTTGTAAATTCTTACCATTTCCCGAAGCTCGTTCATTTCCGCACCAGGTGCGACTACAGTGACGTCGCCTTCATCATCGCTGTGGGAGTCCATCTCTCCTTTATCTCCCGGTAAATTTGATGAATCCATTGAAGTTTTGCGGCTTCGTAAATTGTAATTTTCCATAAAGCGTAAATGGCGGAACAGCGGTTCTCGGAATAAATATTAAAAAANCTTACCATTTCCCGAAGCTCGTTCATTTCCGCACCAGGTGCGACTACAGTGACGTCGCCTTCATCATCGCTGTGGGAGTCCATCTCTCCTTTATCTCCCGGTAAATTTGATGAATCCATTGAAGTTTTGCGGCTTCGTAAATTGTAATTTTCCATAAAGCGTAAATGGCGGAACAGCGGTTCTCGGAATAAATATTAAAAAATGTTGTCGCTCCGTGTAAGAAAACAGGCGAATATATCAAAACATCTGACGTTTATTCAAATAGTTTAAATTTGCGAAATCAAAGTTACATAAATCGTTTAAATATCTGTAAAATATATTAAGTTTAATACCATTTTAAATTACATTATTTCCTCTTGTCTTACTTATTCGTCCTCTTACAACAGCTTTACTATGACAATGAGCAAGTTTTCAGTTTATCGAAAACTCTAGAACGTCGTTCAATATTAAAATCAGAGTTGCGCTTACAGAATTAAAAAGTGCGTACAAATTTTGACACGTTTTTGAACATACAAAAGTAACTGTCGTTTCATTAGTCTTAATCTGCAACATGTAGAAAGATGCATTAGCTTACTAAAAAGCAGATTTCGCTGTCTGTCGAAGGAAAGAGCCCTTTTCTACAGTCCACCAAAAGCAGGCCTCATAATCAACGCTTGCCTGGTTTTACACAACTACTTGATTCGTGCCATTCGATGAAATTTATTTGGAAGACTCTGATGAACCTGAAGAATGTGGTGATTGAAAATAATTCAACTTTTTATTTTACATTCGTATTTTTACTTATTTACATATATTAATAAATATGCATATGTATATTATATTTCAAATGTTAAATTCTTTTTAAAGGCAGTTTTTATCACAAAAAGTTTTGTTCATAAATTCATTGCATATCATATTTTCTTAAAGACTAAAAAATAAAAAATAAATCGAATTCTTTCATATTCGATATCTCATATTAGGCTCCAGAAGAAGTATAAAAATACACACATAGATTGCTATATTTCCAAGATAAGTATTTTTAAATGTAGTTTTTATCACAAGTAAGTTTTGTAAATAAATTCATTAAACAGGGAAATTCATATATTTTTAAAAAGCTAAAAAAAAAACATATTTTCATAGGCTGTAGAAAAAATAAAAATAGAATCGACTCCATATTTTCCTTAACTCTAAAAANGCTAAAAAAAAACATATTTTCATAGGCTCTAGAAAAAATAAAAATAGAATCGACTCCATATTTTCCTTAACTCTAAAAAAGTTTAAAAGTAAAAACGACTTCATGTTTTCTTAAATTCTAAATATTAAAAGTAAAACCGACTTCGTATTTTCTTAAACTCTAAAAATACTAAGAATAAAAAGGACTTCAAGTTTTCTTAAGCATTAGAGAAAGGTATAATAAAAATTGTCTAATACTTATGGACAAGGCTGTTTCTAAAATTAAAACATTCTCACGGCCGCCTCAAAATTTCAATTAAATGTTGTAGTTTTTCTACAATACATTCTTTCATTTGCGTGCCCACTATTATTGCCTCTGTCTGCTCCTTCACCGCTTAGATCTGTTCGCGTTTTAAATTATTGGCGATCTCCATTTCTCTTACCTTGATTTCCTCTAGCCTAAACAATTTTTCTAACTGAGGGTTTTCTACTTGCGCCTTTCTTTTTCGCCCTCTCGAACGAGCTGCTGCTGTGCTGCCTCTTATTGCTGCAGCAGTTGAGGTGCTCGCCCCCATCATTGGACACGTAGTTGCATCTTCCAATGTGGTTGCGGCTGCAGTACCATCTAACTCGCATTCAGCCACAACAACTTCGAATGTCTCCTCCACAATGTCAGCGAGATTGTGAGAAGCTTCTGCCATGTCGAGTGCTTCAAAGCCCACTTCGCCCGTTTCATCACCATCGACTGCCTGCACAGTTGTAATCTTAATTATGCGCTCTTCCAGCGGTGACAGTACTTTGGCCCGGCTCAAACCGTTTATACCACTTCTCTGCGCTGCCTGCCTTATCGCACTATATTTTGTGCGAGTATGAAGTCTGTTTGTAGGTATTAAAACAAAACATTAAAAAAATAACTTACCGTTTCACAGAACGAGAACTGACCCCCAGGTCTGGATTAATTAACCTTTCATAGATTTCTTTGTGGTCCTGTGTAATTGATTAAAATTTGAAAACGTTCGCCTTGATAACTAGGTTAAACTTTGTTTGTCCACTTACCGATTTGTCAACGCATTATACGAGTGTGGACCAATCCGTTTTTAGCACCATCCACCTATCGATAAATAAGTGTGCCAGCTGAAAAATTTATTTTTTTCTCTTGAGTTTCCATTCAGATACTAAATTTCGAATACTTATAACCAGGGACGTGAACCGGATGAAAAATTTGTTTGGTTCGGTTCAGCGGGTCGAACCATTTTTTGCACTTTTGGATTGGTTCGCCAAAGCGGTTTTTTTGGTCTTTGAACCGGGGTTTCGGTTCGGTTCAACGGTTCGAAAAACAAAAAAATTACGCGCAAGTTTAAGTGTCAAGTGTCAAGTGCAACAACGCACAAGGTTAAGGGTATGAGATGGGTTGCCTTTACATTTGATATTGTCACATGGTAAACCAACATGATGGGTATTACCATGTTTACCAAAAAGAAAAAAAAGTGAGTACATTTATCTATTGAAAATTGGTTGAGACGAACCTTTCAATATTTATAGAAAGTGGTTCGGTTTTCGGTTCGGATCAAACATTTGTGAAACATTTCGGTTTCGTAATGGTTCAGTTAATTAATAGAAAAGAGCGGTTTTCCGGTTCAAAACCGGTTCGGTTCAAAACCGGTTCACGTCCGTGCTTATAACTCTGGCCCCTATTATGAGTTGCATTCGATCTTCGACTGTGGTCGAAAGTGCTGTTTAAACGAATTTTCATTTGGTATTATGGCGCTCATTCGATGAAGAATAGCGCTATTGTGAATTTCGCTCGTTTAGGTTGTTCACAATAGTATATTTTTCACCGCGGAGAAGCTTTGTTTACAAATCGAGCAAACTAAATAATGTGGTTATACATATGGACATATGTAAATTTGTGCAAATTAAAATGAAATAAAAAAGAAAGCGAGTTTATAAAAACTTGGTAAAAAAAATTTTAATTAGTACAACGGAGTTCTGGTTGAACGATTCGTCAGAGGATGAGAGCTTAGAAAACTAAGTGCAGTCTTTCGAATATGTTTTGACATACAATATATATAAGAAATTTTGTGATCCAAATCTATTTAAAATATATTAAAACTAAACAACTCTATGATTTTGTTCTCAGAGATCGTGCCAACAGCGTATTGGCGATTTTCTTTCATAAGTAAAACTAGACTTTCGAGCTTATGTTTAGTATTCATTACGTTAAAACTGCATGAAATTAACAAAAAAATTTTAAAACTAGTTTCTAGCCGCCAAAAAGTGGAAAACAAATGCAAAATCATACATTTTTCACAATGTTCTAACACTTCGCTACACCAACGAAAGCAAAGTTCTGTTCAACAGAAAATTCGAAACTCTACGAAAATTTGGACACGCTTGCATAGCTCATATACGAATTTCACTTTCGATCTTCGATCTTCTGGAATTATTTTCAAGAGTATGTTATGTAGAATATATTACTTTAACGCCATTTTTAAAAAATCAAACTGTAAAACAGGAAATCTTAGTAAAATTTAATAATCCAGAATAACTACTTTATTAACATTTTTTAATNGTTGGACACGCTTCCATAGCTCATATACGAATTTCACTTTCGATCTTCGATCTTCTGGAATTATTTTCAAGAGTTCAAGAGTATGTTATGTAGAATATATTACTTTAACGCCATTTTTAAAAAATCAAACTGTAAAACAGGAAATCTTAGTAAAATTTAATAATCCAGAATAACTACTTTATTAACATTTTTTAATATAATCTATGAATGGCACACCTTCCTATACTACATTTTATAATATTAGAGATTTAAAATTATTAGAAAAAATATCACTGCCCTAAGATATGCGGTAAAGCAAATACATCGTGCAAAAGAAAAAAAACCATGCTCAATCATCAGTTTGACTCATTGGTGTTTTAGCTAGTTTTGGGATTACAGCGAGTGTGTATTTTTTCAGATCTGATAAAACACTACAGCAGCTCTTATTATAATATATTTTCTTTTGAAAAATACCCAACAGATATAGCAATTTTGACCATATACCTACGAAACTATGCATAATCACCAAAATCAGAAGTTCCTGAGACATGCCCATATGTGCTTTTATATACATATTTCCATAACAACTTCAAGATATCAAAATGCGTAGAACTCAATGTTAAAGCTAATCAAGTAGATAATGAGAAGGCATTTTTCATCATATATGCAATCTACAAGCAAATTGATAAGAAATGTATAATCCCTGCTGTAAGCCCGGGCCAGCCAACGCTAAGTCACCATGTACGTCTACAGCGACAATTGCACTAGTGCAAATGTCGACAAAGGTTTCTTTTTTGCAGGAGTACGAACTCGCCATAGGCAATTACTGTAGCGTTTTTGTGTGTAAATTGTCTACACTTTGTCAACAAGCACAACAGCTGTGCTTCTTGTGAAGGTGAACGTAAATAATTAATAAGTCACATACACATATACGTAAGTATGAGTAAACGAAAATATAATAGACAAATTAGAAAACAATCCGTATTATATAAAAACAGAGGCCGAATGCCCAAAAGTGATAATGAAAAGGACGCTAATATTTCTGAAATTGCAAATGAAATTTTTGAAAATGAAGGAGATTTATCTGAGTGTGGAAATAATTTTGGGACTCCAAAGTTAGCATTAGTGGACAAATTAAAAAAGTGGTACACAGGAACAGCTCCTTCTAGAGAATGTTTGTAAAAACTGCTTAAAATTTTGCATGACGAAGGCCTGGATGTTCCACTTTCAGCAGAAACTTTGTTGGGAAAAAGGGAGCAGATTATTCAGCCCTATTCTGAATAGAAACTTCCTAGGAATTTTTCCTCATTTTTCTTTCCTGCTATCATGCCCTATTCTCCTATTCTAAACGATCTTCGAAAAAGGGAAAATGTATTTCGCGAAAAAAGTAGGTATTGTAGGTATGTCAAAAAGTAGGAGAATTGATTTCGTTATTCTGGGACATGATTCAATAATACAAGGTTAGATAATTATTGACAGCCGCGGTTTGACGCTCCCTTACAAAAGTTTGCATTTACTAAGGATGGGCATGGGGAGGAATGAAATCCATTGCTGCGAAAATGGTAGTAGAAAAGTAAAAGTAAATTCTAATGTATTTGCAGGAAATCTGCCATTTCAAATGAAATATTGAACGAAATGTTAATATATCTACGTGAATTATGCAATTTTTGTGCTATTTAGCCGTATAAAAACTGCAGAAAGAGTCAAAATTAAAATAAAACTACTATGAGATTTTATGAAAACATCCAATTTAAAAAGAGTTTATGTTTTCATCAGTTAAATGTGCTTCATTTGCATATACAAATAAACATATTGCACAAAAGCTTATACTTCTATTTCACAGCAAAGCAACATTTTTTCCAAGTAAATTTGCAAAGAAGCAACACGGTGCCACTGCTAAGGGAGCGGTTCGAGAGAGACAACTGTCAGTTTATCGAACCTTGTATTATTGAATCATGATTCTGGGAGAATTTTCACTGGTATTTTAAAAGGGAACTGCTACAAAAATGTAAGTTAATTACAAATTAAAGGAAATTTGGTGTAATAAAACGTTTAAACCTTTCATTTAGATCCAAAAAAAACAAATAAGAAACAGGTAGAAATCTTAATGAGCCTAACGGAAGCTAGGTTATTTTGGTTTATTACATGAAAACCCGCGATTGAAATCAAAATATTTCAACTCACATGTGTAATTAAAGACTAAATTTTAATTTAGCACTAATATTTAAATTTCCGGAGCACTAGTTTATTAATAATGTGGCTTCCAAAATTCACAGTGGCAACTGTCTTAGCAAAGGGCAATCTTATCCTATTTGCCCACCTATTTCGAGTTATTACAAGAAAACGCGCGATCTATATTAAAATCTTTCAACTTACCCGTGTAGTTAAAAGATTGAGCTTTAATTTAAAACACTGATTTGAAATTTCCGCGCACTAATTTATTAACAACTTTAATCTGAAATACTCTTTTGTGTGAAACACACTTCTATGTGTAAAACACGCAAATTAAATGGCGGGAGTTAAGCTGTCAAAATAACTGTCGAACCGCTCTTCCAAAGTTCGAATTTCCTGCTCCCAAATTTTCGAGGAAATTGCTGCTTCCTGGCAGTTTCGAAAAGGAGGATTTTATTCTCGAGAAAAGTAAAATCCGCGAGAAATGAAATCCTCGTGAATATTCAGAATTGGGCTGATTGTCAGAAACGTATTTCCTGGAATTTACTGCCACATTGGAGTGGAAAACCAATTGAAGAAGATAGAAGAAGTGTTAAAAGACTATGGCGAAATCATAGTAGACACAAATATCGACGGAATTCCTCTTACAAAAGTTCTCGCATTCAGTTGTGGCCAATTCTTTTAAAAATCGTGAACATTCAAGAGAAACCCGTGGGAATTTATGTCGGAAATGCCAAACCAAGCAACGTCAATATTTTCTTCGAAGATTTTATTAAAGAAGTTCTTTTGCTGAAAAATGGTTTAATTTTAAAGAGAAAGGCGTCAATCTTGTTTTTCGCTGCACACAAGTTGCTACAAAATTTGGCAATGTACTTACGTACAACATTGCTAGTGGTAGTTTGATTTCCGACCATGACTTCACTGCAAGAAAATATCCAGATCATCAGTCAAAGCTGCAAAAGGGATAAAACTCCACTTGAAGAAATAGATTTTAATATGGTAACCCAAACACCTCTTGATAGTATGGTCTAGGTTTACTAAAAAATGCTTGTTCGAATACTACAAAGCCAGACGGAAAAAATACTCCAAAGAATAACATTTTGAAAATATCTTCAGGGCGTTTAAATTTAAGAAAAAATTTTCCAAAGGAGTTTCCAGAAAGCCCAGGTCTTTGGACGAAATATACCATTGGAAAGCGACTGAATTCCACCAATTTCTTGCTTACACAGGTCCCATTGTGCTTTTTAACAACGTACATGGAAATATTTATTATGCATTTTTACTATTGCACTGTGTTTATAGACTACTAAGCAATCCGTGGCATGTAAAGAAATATGTATCATAATATTGTATACAATTTTGTATATACTTTTAGGGTCGTTTCACTTTATCGTCTCGATATACGAGTTTTTGTTTTCCCACCGGCGCATTAATTTCTCGATTCGATAAATTGTTGCTCACTCGATGTATCCTTTAAAAATATGTACCCAGCTTTAAATTTTGGTTCATGAT